TCATTAAATGAATCAAATTAAATGGATCTAAAAGGTGAAAGATAATAATACTTGTCCTGCCCCTTAGTTGTTGGCTTTAAGTAATTGAGCACTTTAGTTAGATAGCACAGTATTAACGCTGTATTAAAAGCTGCTTTAATGACCATAAACTACAATCTCTTATAATGCATGGGAATTCCCTGTTGGAAAGTGGGACAGTCCAGAATTTAAGATGGCAGCAACTCACTACAACTCATCAGTGAGAAAACTCTCAGTTTTACGTTTACTTTTATAGAATAGAAATAGAAATAACCTTTATTGTCCCGCTGAGGGGAAGTTCAGGTGTCACAGCAGCATCAGTGCAGAGGTTCACACACTAGATACTTTACAAACTATAGATAATACACACAAAACAAAATTAACAATGACTAGCCATGATACGACTACTAATAATAAAAAATATAATATAAAGAATTATGCAAGAATAGAGAAAGATATGTTTTGTTTTAAAACAGGGGTCTCCAACCTTTTTCTCCTTAAGAGCTACTTTCACAAAATGAAATTGTCRGAGAGCTACTTTTTGCAATGTTTAATTTTAAACTTAAACCATTGGAATAAGACTGTTTTGCACAAAAAACTTTGTCTTCAATTCACATGAAACTATTACACAGAACACTGAATTTACCTAATTGTACTTTTTGTGATTATCCATTCTTATTATATTGTATTTTACACTACTAACTTAGGGTTTAACTGCAACAGATTTGTGCACAAATAACATGGGGTAATGGGTCTCTGATATTTTTTCTGCATTTTTTCCCAGCGGGAAGAAGCCCCCTGTAGTGACATATACTGCAGCAGGAGGGGTTTCCCAGGAGTTTGGCACAGTTTGTCTCAAGGATCTATGAAAGGTGTGTGTGAAAACAAATGCTGAACAGCCACGTAACTGTGCATCATCTGCCAATCGACCATACTGAGCCCTAAACTGTTGACAACCAAGGGGAAGGGACATCTATARATTGACTGGAGTTAAATGAAAGTGTGTTTGACCAGTGACAAATTAAATTTTGCTTCTAATTTTTCATAAGCACTGAAGAGCTACTTTAAATGAGCTCACGAGCTACTGGTTGGAGACCCCTGTTTTAAAGAGAGTGGACTGTCAGAATCCGACATTAGGAATCAGAATTATCAGTCAGACAGTATTTTTCAGTGATTATAAGAGGACATGTTTCTAATACCATGTAGAGCTCAGTTATTGTTTGTTAGTGCTGCTCAGCTGTAGCAATGAGACGAAGAACATGATGTTTCGTGTTTAGTCAAATTTAGATATGAAACGTCAAAATTAATTACAATTGGCCCTTGGAGGGCCAACATAACGCTGATGTGGCCCTCAGTGAAAATGAGTCTGACACCCCTGCCCTGGGTTTTCTGAACAATCCCTGTCTTTGCAGGTTAGTCTCTCCTATGTAAAACCAACAGCTGTTCCCAAAGGGCTGAASGTTTAATGATGGTAAAGGTTGGGGCTTCAGGCGGTCCCTGGTTTGATAGTTTTTGTTTCCAGTCCACAGGGAGTAACGTTCAGGTCTTACCTGAGCCCATGACTGCACAGACGAAAATCATGGAATTGTATTTAATCTCTGGAGCGCTCCGCTCGTCTGACAGCAGCTTGTGAAGAACCGACACCAAGTTGGATCCGACAAAGTCCTTCTCAGCTGCAGCTGGAAACCAGAACACAGAGGGACGGTTGGTTTTTGTGATGTGAGTCTTTCAGCACTCGCTGCTGCAAACATCTGGGACCATTTCCTGAAGTGTTACAAGTTCAAAAGCAACCAGATCTCTGAAACGGTCCTCCAACCCCAAACTGCCTCTGGTTCTCCCTCCTTCAGCGTCTGTCACAAACACTCAGTGGGCTGAACTGTGGATTCTGACAGCGGGTCGTCTTCCTCGGGTCATGTCTGTCAGAGTTTGAACAAAACAACCATGTGCTTGTTCCACTCAGAGATCAGAACCAAAACTGAACAAAGCTGCCGACTGTCGGGATTAAACAGAAGGTCTTGAGTTCCCTGAAAGAATCACCCGCCGCCTGAAAACAACCTGACAATCTTATGATGTCACACTCTACCCTACTACCACAGATGTTACCTGACTATCTGTAAAACTCACTCAGTTTAAGTCATTTTGTGTTTGCTAAAGACCGTTCATACACCCCACATTATATACCTACTGCCAGGGTCACATGGCAAGACAATTCTGTTGGTTTTTAGCCTGACTTGGTCCTTCCAACAAACTTAAAGAGTAACTTACCCCAAAATTAACTTTTTTAGCTGATAAACTGTCTAGAATGTGTCTAAAATGTTATATAGTACTGTTTCTGTGCTAATTTTGATGTTTTTGTGTGTATTTGTTCAAATCTGTAATATTTGGTCTAAAAACGTCTTTTTGCTGCTCATATGGGTAGAGCAGTGGTACTGCAGGCTAATTTGCAAATTGGTTAACGGCTCTCCACGGTGACGCTCTACTCTGAGCTCAGCTCATCATCTGGAGGGAGCTCAGAGTAGAGCGTCACCGTGGAGAGCCGTTAACCAATTTGCAAA